GCTCTAGGTCATAGACCTGCCTGTTTCCAGCTGGGCCTCTGACATTGTCAGGGACAGAGCAGTATCCACCCTGCCTACCCTGCATCAGGCTCAGCGGGGAGGAGGGCCAGCTGTATCCCATGTGTGTCTGCAAAGTGCTGTGTGCTCCCTGAGTCACGGGACCAGACATTCCATTAGAATCACGGCTGGCTTCGGGCATCTCTGAGCAGAGCCAGCTGGTGCGGCATCTACGGCCACCTGTTTCTAGGTGCATCTGGCCCAGTTTTGGCACCAATAAGAGGTGACTGCTGCCAGAACCCCAGGGCCTGTTGCTGGGGGAGAAAAAGGCCACTTATAGCTTTGTTTTATTCACCCTGGTGACACCGTCTGGCTCCTAGACACTCAGGGATGGTTTGTCAGTTTTCTCTACAAAAGTGTGTCTTTCCCTGTCCTTCAGCACAAGGTAGGAATTCAGGAACAGGCCGTTTGAGGCCAGGAAACTCAGCTTCCCAGGCTGGGCAAGCTGACATCTGCCTCTGAGGGCAGAGCCCTTGTACTTCTGGGTCCTCCCTACTTAAGTCTGTTGCTAGCTTTAGCAGCTCGAAAGACAGGCTCAGCCACCATCCTCAGCTGCCAATGACAGAGGCAAGTCCTAAAAAAAGGTGTCTAAAGGAGATTTAATCACCGTGGCCACATTAAGAGAGGAACAAGTGACCAAGCCCATCTCTGAAATATACTGAGGGCAAGAACTAGGCAGTCCTAGTCCAGGTGTGGTCCAGGTCATCACTGATCTGGAGCTGTCTCAGCTCCAGTCTCTTCCAAGATGGTCTGACAATCTGACAGAACTGTGTGAAACCTGAAATCTGTCAAGAGAAAAGCTCCCCCTCCAGCTGGCACCGGACTTCAACCTTCTACACTGGGCATCAGACTCTTGGGGGAAATTCCAGTTTCTTGGCATCCATGATTTCAATAGTTGGTGGACAAGAAGAGGGCACAAGTGTCTCCGGAATATTCGCGTTCCTGCCGGCACCAGTAAGGAAACCCTTTGAGAGCCGGTCCCATCCTCTGGGAACCTGAAAGTACTCAGAGGCCTGTGAGAGAACTCAGCTTCTCTGACACCTCTGGCGGCTGCAGGTGACTGTGCCTCTATTCCTTAACTGAAGGGACTGCAGGGCAGGCCAGGACCAGTGCTCAGTCCCTGGTTCTGATCCTCCCGTTCTCAGCATGCTGCTTCAATTGTCTGACTCATCCAGAACCTTCTGGGTCTAGCGGCCTGGTGACTCTGCCCTGCAGGAACTGTTCCCCACTTTGCTTCACCCCAACCCAGCCATGCCTGCCCTTCCCCCTTCAGGGTCACACTCAGCGCTGGTGTTCTGGGCCCCCAGGGGAAGGCAGCTCAAGGCCTACTGAGGCCTGGATGTAGGAGGCTGAGGTAGCAGCTATAGCTTCCACCTTGATGGACAGGCAGGCCATGGGGTCCCTAAGAAGTTCCAAAGTAAACAATCGAGTTTTGTTTTTTTCCACTTTAAACTGAACCATCAGAACTGGATCACAGCTGGGGAGCAGATGGAGCATCTTTTCCCTCCACTATTGACTCCAACCATCTGAGTGACACTCCCATTTCCTAATGGGGACTTGCCTCTCCAGCACACACATCTGTAAGCCCAGGCACCTTCACACTCCTGGTAAGGAAATGGAGGTGCTCCCTCCCTGCCCCTCCTATGGCCCCACAGTGGACATGGCCCAGCCAACCTCCACCACACAGGAGGTTGGCAAGCCCTGAGACAGTCTGCAGCAACGAGCCTCGATACCATGGCCTGCAGCAACAAGCCACTATACCATGTGGGACATCTTCCCAGTGCCTGATGGAGACCCCAGCCCAGAGAGGGTCACATTCCAGTGGGCAAATAGTCAAAGACACTCTCCATCCTAACTAAAGAACAGCCATGCTGTATAATGTGACTTGGTCATTCTGACCCTCAAGCAGAGACTGTTGTCAGTTGGTTTGGGTTAAAATCCATTCCAGAAAATTCAAAAATAGATGCATGAGTCACCGGTGATGTTTGGAGGCAGAAAGCAGTTTGCTGGGAAGAGACCCAGATGGCTGGTGACAGGGACCTGGCGAGTTTTGTCCGGCTGTGTCCTTAACAGCCATCTGAGCTTCTCGTTTGTGTTGGCTGCAAAAGGCGGGTTTTGCTGCAGTTAAGCCATTTCTCTGAAGGCTACTAAGATGGATGTCACAGAGTCCCAAGGGCAAGGAGGGCTCCAGGGAACCTGCCGTCAGACTGTCAGACATATGAGACCTGCTGTATGCCAGCCCTGGGTCTGCATGTTAGCTTCATCCCTGTGCCATGTCACAGAACTGCCGTTTCACACAGACAACAGGTAAGGAGCCTCGGGAAGTGACGCTGAGTGACTCCCAGGCGGCCTAGCGAGAAGCGGTACTGAGAGACAACACTCATCTATGGGACATTGAATACCTCACCCTGTCACCTCATGCGGATATGATGCAGGGCTTTGGCGAACGCTGAGGTTCCAGCAGAGTTCATGGATGACATCTCCAAAGTGGCCTTGCAGAGTGACTGGGCCAGAGTCTCAGAGCCTGGGTCACCAATGACAACGAGGGGAGAAGGGAGGTGTCCCAGACACACGATCTAGTGAGGACATTGATCACAGAATGCCAAGTCAGCTCTGGCGGCTTTGATAAGAGATAGACAGCTAGGCTTGCTTCTATGGAGCCATGAAATCTCGCTCTCTCACAAGAGTGTGACAAGCAAGAAAGTCAGAGGCCCCAAGCAGAGCAGAGTTGGCCTGCAGGGCCTGGGACACAAAGACCACAATCTCCCAGGAGCCCCTCCAGCCACCTGAGGGTCAGCTGAGGCTTCTCTACACTGTACCGGTCCCCTCCCTTTACTCTAGGGCTTCAAGGCACCCACACTTTCCTAGGAAGAGCCGGTAGGCTTGGGGGGACTTGAATGTGGAACCTGTATCCCTCTTTAGAGTCAACACTTGGGAAGCCAGGGGACAGAATGAACAGGCAACCCAGTTCAGGAAGCTGCAGCCGTGAAGGCATGCAGAAGACAGCGGGGCCTGAAGTGGTATCAGAGAGGCACAGGTGATATGACCAAGTAAGAGGGACAGGCAGGACGCTGGAGATGGAAGTGGGGGCTGTCTTATTCCATTTGAGGTGAGAGCTGTATTTTGTATTAATGAAAGCTTATTGAAAAGTGACATCTGGCTGGACATGGTGGTATATGCCTTTAATCTTAGCACTTGGGAGGCAGAAGCAGGCCTGAGTTCAAGGCCACTCTGATATACAGAGTGAGTTCCAGGACAGCTGGGGCTACAGAAATTCTGTCTTAAAAAAAAAAAAAAGTGACATTTGAAATTTTCCTACCTACACTTGGCAATTTCTCACTCTGAGTCAACAAACTGGATCTGACTAATTAACCAAGCTAGACACTGAATTTCCTCCACCCCCAAACAAAAACTCACCTCAACTGTACTCACTTATCACTTAGCGTGTGGAGGAGTTCCACGTTTGCCCTGCGGTCACTGCACCATGAACCTGTCTTTGGAAAGTCTTTCTGGAGCCCTATGATCCCTCTGGAAGGTCACAATGACAGAGAGGGGCATTTTGCCTTCTACATTGAAGGGTACATTTATTCCTCTTACGGTAAGGGAGAATGGACATGATCACGTTGCTAATGGTTTGTTTACTGAGTTAACACCGAGTGTCACCATGGGAGGAAAGCAAGGGTCACTGGCTGTGGGAGTATGTAAACCCAGCTGCAGAGACAAAAATGGGGACCAAGTGGAGGAGACACAAAGCCAGAAGCACCAGCACATGAACCTTGGAGACACTGCCACCTGACCAGGGTGAAACTAAACATTGTTGTAACAGTTACTACCTTTGTTCACCCCTGAAAAGCCTGCTGGCTGGAGTTTTTAGTGTTGGTGCAATGACTTCTTGGATCTCTGGCTCTCTGAATAAAACTTGACTTCAAGATCCATTCCTGCCTCTGCCCACTGGCATTTGTGGCAAGGAGGGGCATGAATTCTAATGTTTGGGTTACTTCTCCAGGACAGCCTTCTGTCTGCTGGGGCAGGTGTACCTGGGCCACTACGTCCACTAGCTGCACAGGGGATGGTGTAGACTCCGCTGGGCTGTCTCCCACTGGTGTGAATCTTTATTGTATGTGGTCATGGAGCCATCACCTCCAGGCGTGATATGACTATTGATGCCCCAGAGCAGAGTTGCTGGCCTGCGGGAGACCATAGCCCACAGGAAACTCGAATATGGTAGGATTCAGATGAGGCCATAGCAAAGAGGCAAACTGAGGTTCTAGTGGCCACTCCCTCCTGGTCTTGGAGGGGTCACTAGGATATATAGGAGGGAGAGGTTGACTTGGGGACTCTTCAGTGGTGGACCTGCAAGATAAGCCACCATGCTGAGGAAGGAACCTCTTGGTTGTAGGGACCACTTTGGTAAGTAATTGGATGATCTTCTCTTTGGTCTATTAGTGACCTATCTGATGGAGGAAGGACATTGGTTAATTATAATAAAGAAACTGCCTTGGCCCATTTTATTGGTTAGAACATAGGTGGGTGGAGTAAACAGAGAGAATGCTGGGAGAAAGAAGCTGAGTCAGGAGTCGCCATGGTTTTCCCACTCCAGACAGATGCAGGTTAAGATCCTCCCTGGTAAGCCACCTCGTGGGCTACACAGAATATTAGAAATGGGTTAGAACAATATGTAAGAGCTAACCAATAAGAGGCTGGAACTAATGGGTCGGGCAGTGTTTAAAAGAATACAGTTTCCGTGTAATTATTTCTGGGCATAAGCTAGCCATGAGGGCGGCCGGGTGCCGGGGACGCAGCCCCTGCCGCTCCTAATGCAACACCTATCGAGGGTGAGCAGATATTTCTCAACATCTTCCTAGAAAACACAATTTGGCATTAAATTCCTGCCACCCTGCTGAGCTTCCTGAACAAAGCAGAAAATGAAACAGACCCAACTCTCATTTTTAAAATGGCTTTATTAAAGGCTAGTAGTATAAAATAGAACAAAGTTACAAGTTGTCATTAAGAATCTGCCATTTTGAAAATATGTATCAAAGGAGAGGGCGGTGTAAAGAATAGAAGGCCACTCCTGGCCCTGGCATGAGGGATGCACCTGGCCAGGAGGCCCGGGGACTCAGGGACAACCCAAACAGGCAGAGTCTAGGTTTCTGAGAGCTTTTGTCAAATATGGCTACCAAGAGCAAGACACAGAGCCCTGGAGCTGCCTCCCAGGCGTTGAGCCTGGGTGTGTGGTGGTGATCAAAATCATACACAGGCGTGAGAGGAAGAACTGCTTTAGAGGGAAGTGATGGGTGTGTACCATCCTGACGGCGGAGGAAGAGAAGGTGGAAAATACCTGGTTAATCTCCTGGCCACTGTCACATAGTCCCTGGGGGAGACCAAGAAGCCAGCTTGGTCTGCCCAGGCACAAGGACAATGCCCAGGTCAGGTGGGTCCTTTAGGATCCCTCCTGGACCCCCTATCTGGGACTTCCCACCTGTTCTGTTTGTTTGCTTTTTTGCTTTTGGCTTTTCAAGACAGGGTTTCTCTGTGTAGCTTTGGAGCCTGTCCTAACACTCACTCTGTAGACCAGGCTGGCCTCGAACTCATAGAGATCCACCTGCTTCTGCCTCCCAAGTGCTGGGATTAAAGGTGTGCAGCACCACCACCGCCCAGCTTCCCAACTGCTCTCGGGAGGCCTCCTTGAGAAACACCATTGTGCCTACACGCAGCCTTCTCTGTGTTTTCACTAGAGAAGCTAGAAGGGAATCAGGAGAACGTGGGAAGAAGGGAAAATGTCTGCACAGAGAGAGAAGAGACATGTCACGCTGGTCAAGGGCCTTCCTGCTGTGCCCTTGCCATGGACCATAGACCTACACGGAAGGAGAACGTGCACAGACGTGAAATCAACCACAGCACTGGGGAGGGAGGCAGGGAGGCACATGGTAGCCATGCTGGACCCCCTAAAGAGCCAGGGCCAGCGTGGGCTTGCGAGTTATTTCCGTCCTCGTTGTGCCCGACGCCGTTCTCCTCTTCTGCCATCACTGCTCTACCACAGTGCGGGATGATAACTGGTCAAAAGCCACCAGAGGAAGGCAAAGCCACACCCTAGGGACCAAGGGAGGCTCAGGACAGAAACTAATTGGCAGGTATCGCATCAATATTGGCTAAGTACAGCTTTGGCATGTTTTCCCAGGGGAAAAGACAAGGGTGGGACAGTTGCTGTGTGCGCTCTGCCTTGGTAAGCAGGGTCTAACAGATATTCCAGGAGCTAGTTCAGAAAGTCCTGTGATGTGGGCATTAAGGTCACACCTTTCAGTACTGAAACCAGGTGCTCGGAGGAGGGGGCTCATTGAGATTAAGGCTTCAGGTGAAGAGAACGGAGTGATGGCAAAGGGTAGACCGTGCCACCCAGAGCTCACAGATCTGCCTGGCGCCTCCTGCAGTGGTCCAGGGGCCGTGGCAGGGCAGCGGGGAGGACAGGGAGCAGATCTGGGTGAGGCTCATGTTCCTCACCCAGCCTTGCTGCTGTGAGCTCTCAAGGCTGCAAGGGGAAGTTTCTGGAACCATCAGGAAGGCCTCTTTCATTTGAAGGTGGTCAGGTCTTGGGGAGAGGCCTTCACAATACAGCTGACCAAACCGGTGTAAAGAACAGCCAAGCCTTCCAATCTCATGCTGGAAGGTTCTAACACAGTGAATCAGAAGCGCCCTGCTCTCCAGCACCGCTGCCACGGCCCTGACTGCTGGAGAGGACAGGACTGGGACACTGGCAGGACACTTACAGCATCTTCAGAAGAAAATCCACAGACCAAGGAAGCTGCTGCAGCCACATACAAAACAGCGAGACGCTGATAAAAAAAAACCTGCCAGCAGGCAGGGGCTTTCAAACAACCAGAGCTCCGAGTAAGTCACCAGGCAGCTTAGCGGGCATCTGCCACCACCTGCCAGCAGTCTGTTTCCTAGAAGCAGGGGTGGGGAAGGGCACAGAATGCCAGATGTGGTTCAGCAAAGGGAGGGTTCCAGGTGAGCCCATTTTTAAGGATGAATTTTCCACAGCGACAGTCAACAGCCCAGCTCCACCCAGGGAGCCCCCAGTGAAAAGGAATGGGGAGGGCGCAAAGAGATGGTCGCCTGCACGGCCCTTGGTGACTTGGTCCGAGAACCTCCTTGGTGGAAGAAGTGGGGTGGAGTCCGGGACAGAAGTTTTATTTACAAGGCTTACTGGATTCTTGTCTTTAAAAATCCCAAGTGTAAAACTTGTTATCAAATCCTTGAAAATAGCATATTTGGTTTTACCAAAAAGAGAAAGGAAGGAAGGAAGGAAGAGAGAGAGAGAGAGAGAGAGAGAGAGAGAGAGAGAGAGAGAAGGAAAACCTGGCAACATTTCCTAGTTCCTGAAAGACTAAGAAAAGGGCAAAGGAAACAGGAAAATACACAGGCAGAGCTGCCTTCTCCTCCGAACACCACGTGGGCCACACGGGGGCTCTTGGCTGTGTGTCCGGGTAGCACCGTCTACCAGTTGTCCAGAAAATCAAAGCCCGTCTTTAGGAGGGTGTTACTTGAGCCGATCTGCAGAGGGACAAAGGTGAAGAATAAGACGTGGGCCTCCGTCCCGGCCACAGACAACCTAAATACAGCACTCCTTTTAAAATGGCCCAGAGGAAAGCAGCTGCTGCCTCAGGGGCACCTGACCTCAATTTACCTCAGTGCGAGGGACCAGAAAGCTGCACAAAACCCAGCGCAAGTGACACTCCTGCAACACCAGCATACAAAGAGCAGAGGAAAGTAACCTAGTTCTCCCCGGCACCCTCCTGCTCCTGACAGCATTATAAAGTGAACAGATACATCCGCTCGTGTGTGTGTGTGTGTCTGCGTGTGTGTGTGTCTGCGTGTGTGTGTGTCTCTGCCTGTGTGTGGTCTACCCTTGGCCAGGAATTTGCCAAGTGGGCTAGGCTGTCTGGCCAACAAGCCCAAGGTTACACCTGTCTCCAACTCCAATCTAAGTGTTTGGGATTATAAACCCAGATATTTTTTAACATGGGCTCTGGAAATTGAACTCAGTGGAGAAGACCACCATGGGGTCATTGGTGGCTGTCCCGTCCTGTGAGCCCTCCTTGGATATCTGTGAAAGAATGTGCCCCCCACTTCTGATGTGGACTTGGCACCACCACCCACCTGCGCAAACACAGGCTCTGAGAACAGAGCATCGTCTTCGTCGTCCTGCTGGGCAGTGGAAGGTGGCGGCTTCTCTGGGGACTCAGTGGGGGTAGCCTTGGGCAGCAAGCTGGCAGGGGCTTGCACAGGCTGGGGCACCTCTTGTGCTGTGCTTACACTGGAGAGAGTTTGCTGTTCTTGGGGCAGAGCCTTGACCTCCCTGTCTTTTGTGATGGGTTCCTGGCGGTAGCAAGCGGGCATGACTTTTTCTCCCTTCTCCATGGACTTGATCTGGCTGGGTGTCAGAGATTGGAACTCGGCCTCAGGCCCCTCCCTAGAGCGTTCAGCGTTGATCTTCCAGAAAGACGCTTCCTCCTCTTTCCTCGAAGGCCCTAGAGCATCCAGGCTAGAGGATCTGCTGTTCTGGGCAGGCTTGGCAGCCTGTGTGCCCTGAGGAGCCTTGGCCAGGGGCCTGGGATCACTGGTCACGGTGGCTGTGCTGGGCTCCTGGATGGATAAGGAGGAGATGCTGAACTCCATCTGACTCTGTGGGGAGACATAAAGGAAGAAACACATGAGAGCCTCAGAAGCCCTTGGGACATACAGCTGGCTCACACACTCCCTCAGATCTGTGCAGACACTGTACCGACATAAGCTGAGAGCTGTCTGGTGGTCCCAAGTGACGATTTTCATGGCAGTCCTTACTGCCTACCTGAAACACATCAGGAGCCATGAGGCCAAGCCCTGTCACAGTGCACCCTAGCAGCTCTAAGACCAGAATCACAGCAACAATCAAGGGTCCCTGTTGACTATGAGAGCACATGGCAGGGCCCAGCATGGTTCTGACTTCAGGAGGGGTTGCTACAGGCAGGTGAGGAAGGCCGAGTGGGTCCTCAGGGCATCAGAGTCCTCAGAGAGAAGGGAAGCTACGCAAACCCAGTCCATACCCTGTGTCACCACATGCAGACTAACCACTTTCCTGAACCACATCTGTAACCACGGTGACCTCTAAAACTCTGCCACTGAGCAGTCCTGACAGAAATCACTGCCAGGAACTCCAAGCCTTCCATCAAAGGGGAGCTAACTGCAGGCCAGGTCATCCCCACTCTGCAGAACTCAGCATTCTCGATCTCAAAATCGACCCTGAAAATTTCAATTCCCCATCACTTCTACCACTTTCTTACAAAAATAAAATAGCAAATGATATTACAGAAAGCTGGGAAAGTAGAGAAAACTCAGAAAATCAGGCATAACCCCTCCCCCATAACTATTTTTGTGCCACATTTTCATATATGTTAGCTGTGATCTTGTCAGGTCTGCAGGGTGGGATGTCGCTTCTTCAATGCACTGTGAGCATCTGTCAGCTCTTTCTTGATCGTCACAACCTCTTCTCTCTCTCGCTCTCTCTCTCTCTCTCTCTCTCTCTCTGTGTTTGTGTATGTAGTGTGTACACACATATGCAATGGGTGCATGAACATGTGTAGCGGTCAGATGGCCCTCAGGGACCAGTGTTGTATAGTAAACTCCACTGAGATAAATTCCATCTTGAAAGGACTCTCCTCAAGACTCAGAAAGTAAACACCTCAATGGCTTTAAGAAGCATGGATCTGATCAAATTCACAAGGCTCCTGCCTCCCAAACATACATAAGCAGTGAGGAGCTACTGAGAGATCAACTGAGCTCCCTGGAAGAAATGTCCTCCAATCTTGAGCTGCCCTTGGGCTATGCAGTACACTTCCGTTTCCAGCTTTGGTGAGCTTCCTCCTATGCTGGGATGCACTTTGGGGATGCAGCTGTCTTTAAGTTATTATTGCACCTGTAAGTGACCCCCCTCCATGCTCTTGTAAGTCATGCTCAACAAAACACACTCGTTCACCAAGTTGGACTTTGGTGGTATCCCTACCTTGTCTGCTTTTGGTTTCCTGTCTAGGGTGAGCAGACATTTGTTCATGTGTCCCCAAGAATAATGCTATACAATGGCATCCACTTTGTTCTTTGATACAGAGTCGCTCTCACCGGTCAGAAACTCAGAGGCTAAGCTGGCTGGCCGGCAAGCCCCAGAACCAGTCTGAACCTGCCCGTGCACTGTGCAGAGGTGGTGTCTTGGAGTGTTCCATGGATTGACATGCAGTTCTGCAAACCATCAATCCATCGGGTCCCTATCCATAAGCAGGAATCTTAGAAACGGAACACAGCCCTTCTTCCGAATGAGCCCCAGGCTCAGGGCAGTATACCACACATTCCCTGGACGGGAAGCCAGCAGCTAGCTGCCCTTGGCCTAGAGAAGAAGAACACAAGTCTAAACCAAGAGCCTAGGCAGCCTGAAAATACAGCTTCCCTAAGAAACAGCCGTCCCCACTTCGGCTCTGCAAGGAACCATGGATCCAGTGTGGTGGGTTTATAGGAGGCCAGGCTGCCATACTGAAGTTTGTGTGTGACCTCTGGAGAACTCAGCAGGTCAAGGGGAGGAGCATAAGTTCCAGCCTGGGCTTTTATACACTGTCACCAGCAACCCCTCAAGGAAGAATAAAGAGAAGGGAAGAGGATGGAGGTACAGGGGTACAGAGTGATTGGTTTCCCTGGGCTACTAGCCTACTAGGAGACCCTGCAGTTGAAATCCCAGGATTTCAACTCCAAGGCCTGGCTGAAGGGCTAACATACAATGTCATGGAAAAAGCAGTTGGTTTTTTGTGTGTGTGTGTGTGTGAGACAGGGTGTCACATAGTCCGAGGCAGCTTCAATCTCTATGTTACTGAGGCTGCCCTTGAATTCCTGATCCCCCTGCCTCTACCTCCTGAGTGATGAGATTATAGGAATGTGGCTCCTCATCGCTCTCAGGATCATTTCTAGGTCCAGCATTCTGAACACTGCCTATTTCCAAATTCCCTAGTAGGACACAAAGACACTTGGTACAAACAGACATAATCGTTTCCTTAAGTAAGCAAACTGCTAAAAATAACTTGGAAATGCCAAGTCTCAGAGAAGGGTTGGCTGTGGTCTGGAAACCGTAGAATAAGGCATACAGAACCAGTTTGTTTTGTTTTGTTTTGTTTTTTTGATTTTTTTGGTGGCGGGTAGGGGAGGCTTCATCGCTCTGGTGGGGTCTTTGCTTAGAAGACTGTGAATCGCAAAGCCAGAGATGTGTGGGTGGTCAGATACTGAGGAGGGAAGCCCAGTTTGGGATCCAAGGTTGTGTGACTGCAGGAGCTGATGGCCACTCCCATCCACTCAAGGGTAACCAGATGCTCTGCAGCTTCCCAGTGGGAGGTGACATCAACTTAGAAGGAGCTTACCTACCTGTTTGGGGTCTTGGGAGACAAACACAAGAAAACACAGCACCATTTTATCCAGCACTGGGGAGGCAGAAGTTGATGAATCTCTGGGAATTTGAAGCCAGCCTGGTTTAAACACTTGCAAGTAACAATGCACGGACTAAAGGACTGTGACTCACCGTGTCACACAACAGCTTCCTGGGGTGGGGGTGGGGGATGCTGCAAAGATAGAGGGCGGATGGGAAAGGGAGGGAGATGAACATGATTGAGATGCATCATGTGAAATCCACGGAGAATCAATAAAAAGTTACATTTGAAAAAAGAAAAGAAATTACCAGGTCAACAAGCCACAGCAACACCTTGTACCAAAAAACAAACAAGAGAAGGGAGTGGAGGGAGAGGAAGAGGAGGAGGAGGAAAGGGAGAGAAGGCAGCAGCTCCTAACCTATCTGCCTCTTCCCCAATGTTTTCTTGATCCTTAACTTTGCACATAAAGTGTGACCGGTTTCCTCTCACAACTCAGCCTCCTCCTCCTTGTTGGTGAAAAACTTCTCACTGCCCCATAAGAGAAGGTTGTGAACCAAGACATCCAAGCACTATCTGGTAGCTGGGAGGGGAGGAGACCTTCTTCCCTGTCCCCATCTATATTGGCTCAGCTGAAGAACCAAAGAATGGGCTCAAGGAGGCCATGTGAAACTGCAGTACCACTGTCCCTCAGGGGGCAGTGACCCCGAGTAAGTCCCATTCTGCATGCTTCCCTCCAGGTGTGCTAGGAATCAGCACTTCTTACAGCTGTCTCTCAAGACTACTGATACAACCAGATAAATCCAGGCTCACAGGAGGTGAAGAGGGCAGAGCTTTGGCAGTCCCAGGACCCCTAGACCCTGTGAAAGCTTCTGGAACAGGGCAGTGGCTAGACAACAGAACCCACAGGGAGCATCACAGCTTCAGCCCTGGGAGCCAGAGGGGGTGCTCCGAGGAACACCCACAGTGCAGCTCTCTATGCCAGGTTCAGTCTGCCATAGGTCCGACCTAGAAAAAACAGGAACCAAATCTCCAGGGCCCAGAGCAAGGTAAGAGAGAGTCCAGGACCTGTTGGGAAGCCACCAGTGACACTATGACCACCTGTCCCTCGGTCCCAGGACAGAAGTCAGCTGACTTGGGAAGATCAGTCCACAAGTTTTAATTGACTGGGCATGTACTGCGTGCCTGGCACGGAAGCCTTTCCCACAAGTGACATGAAGGAGCAGAATCACTGCCCCTTTTTCATTACAGAAGAGCCAGTCCGGCAGCTCACCCAACTTTTCCAGAGACTGCACTGGCTTCAGAGGCCAGACCAGACCTCCACCTGGGGCCCATACATGCCAAGGTGGAAAACAGAAAGACTGTTGATGCCGGCAACAAGGCTTTCCAAACAGCCTGTCACTTTCAGGCCTGGGCAGGAGGTCACGGCAGCCTTCTCTCAATGCCCAGGCTGCTGAGCCAGCACTGCAGAAGGAAACTGCATCAAAGGTAACAGGAAGGGGCAGCAGCCACTAGATCACGGCTATGGCACGGTAGATCACGGCTATGGCATGGGCTGCAGGTAGAAAGGGCCAGGGCTCAGCTGAGCGTCTTCTGTGATCCTGGAGGCATGGACACAAAAGAGGAAGGCAAGGGTCTCCTCAGCTCACAGCAGCACTCCCTTGCCCTCTGTGCCCTGGGCTCCTGACTTCTCTACAATCCAGTCCGTCGGCAGAGCGGGGCATCGGTCAGCCCATGTGGGGAACAGGGCTCAGCTGGCCACATCCATTCTAAAAACAGCAAGACCACAACAGAGCCCAGTGTCTGTTTTTATGCCTCGCTCACTGGAGAGGAATGTGTGATATTCAGCAAAGGGGGGTACATGCCGCGGAAAAGGACTGTTTGGCTTGGCAGCAGCTGGCAAAGCTAAACTACCGAGGCAAAGGCCACGCACACATGGTCAGAAAGAATCGGAAGAACATCTCCATTAGGCCACCAAATGCTTAACATGGGTTCTTCCTCCTGCCCTCCAAGAGACAAAGGGAAGGAACCTGAACAACTCTAAGAATCACAAAATTAGGGGTCATCTTATAGGGATGAGCCAGCACGGACGGGCAGCTTGGAACACCCACCTCACATCCTGAGGAATGGGTCCAGACCTGGAGCTAAATCACACATGCCCCTTGTTCAGAAGCCCTGAGGTGGGCATCTACTCATCCTTCAGTCAAGCTCCAGGGCAGCAAAGACCCAGTGTCACCGTGATACCCAAAAAGTGGCAGGCAGGGGATAGCCAAGGCTCAGGAGTTAATGGTAAGGGACACATGAGTCTTAGCCCTCAGGTCTTGTCCTGTGACAGGGACACAGACATCCATGCCTCCCTAAGACCATAATGTGGAAGATGAACAGTAAAGCGGGGGGGCACAACTTAGGCAGAAGACTTCCCTGTTCATCTCCTGCCTGGATGATCAGAGATGTAGGCACGTGCTCAGCATAGTTCTCACGATGGTTGGGACAGAAACGGGATTTACACAGCAGCTGGAGTGTGGGGGCGGGGTCTTCAAGAGAAGGTGGGTGGAATCCAGCCAGGACACTGTGGTAAGGGAGGACAGTTAGTGGAAAGCAGTGAGGGGCTGGGGGCTTCTGGGAGACCCGTAGGAGCCTGGTCCCGGGGGCAGCATTGCGGCCACCGCACTAAAGGAGCTGTACACTACTCCACACTCAGGGAAAACATCGAAGTTTTCAGAAGGGGAGTGAGGACAGCCCAGAGGGATAGAGAGAGGGAAGAAAGGGAGGAGAGAAGACAGCCATTAAGTAGGGAAAGAGGCCTTCCTAAGATGCACTGGCCCAGGCACTGCAGGGGTTACGCTGTGATGGGATTGGGTTCAGCCTATAGGGCCATGCCCCTCAGAAACCAACTAACATTAAATTAAGGAGGTGCACGCAAGACCATGGCTTAGAAGAGGCCCCTCAATCTTCCATGGGCAGTGACATCTCTGAACCACAGCCAGCAGGCACTCCGCTCTCTAGCCAGATGGTGATGTGACCTGCTCACCTACGGCAGGAACGGGAGGAGGAATTCAGGTGTGTGCCTGAGTTGTGGGGAAGGACCTGGTCTGGAGGATGGAAGGGGTGCTAGCGTGTATACAGGGAGTGTGTGCCCACAGGGGTGTTTTGTCCTCCTGAGAAAGGTCTGGAAGGCCCCCTGCTCTGTCTGAACAGTTCACCAGGCCTGGACATCATGATCTAACTCCTCTTAGCCTCCTTTGGACCTGAAATAGGCGGCTGCACATTAGTAGAGACAGGCAGACAGAAGCCAGACAGCTCGGAGGGAGAGGGACCTTGGGGACGGGTCCCAAGGGCCTAGCCTCCCCATACACTCTCCAACTTGTCTGCAGCCCACACAGACTGGGAATGCAAGGAATCTTCTCCATTCCTTCCTCCCTCCTAGTCTGAGGCCTTCTGGGTGCTGGGTTTTTCTTCTGGAAACATGGGAGCCTGAGAGAGGAATGCAACAGTCCCATGGGCATCCCCCCCCCCCCCCCGCTTGCCTGCCAAACTGATAGATGAGTGGAAGAGATTGCCGTGGTGACCATATCCCTGCGGGGATGTATGGGGTAGGATAGTGGAGGGGTGCTGGGAGTCACTGTCGGAAGTGGAGGGATGTGTCTTGCATGGTGGAAAATTGGGATGTGTTCATTAGCTTGATCCAATTATCCCTAATACCAAAACAACTTGGGCTCTGTGTACACACGCAAGTGTGTAAGAGAATGATGGTATGGGAGGTGGACAATGAGGCACAGCCATGTGAGGGCACCAACTGCCACGGAGCTGCACGCTCAAACTGAAGAGACAGCTCAGCAGTTAGGAGGGTGGACGGTTCTTTCGGAAATTCTGTCCCCAGCAGCCACGTCTGACAGCTCACAACCACATGTAACTCCAGCTCCTTGAGGTCCAACGCCTTCTTCTGGCCTCTGGGCAGCTGCACACATGTGGCATACATACATATACACATACTTTTTTTCTTGGGGGCTGGAGAGATGGCCCAGTGGTTAAGAGCATTGGCAGCTCTTCCAGAGGTCCCGAGTTCAATTCCCAGCAATCACACGGCGGCTCCCAGTCATCTATAAGGGGATCTTCTGGCACACAGATGTACACGCAGACAGATCACAGAGACATCAAATAAATAAACCTTGCAGAAGATGTTTTCTTAAGTGGTTAACCGGGGCTGGAGAGACACCAATGGTGAGCACAGAGACCGAAGGCTGATCCCCAGAGTTCATGTTTACAAAAAGAAAAACATGAAGCTGAACGGATGGCTCCAAGGTTAAGTACAAGGGCACCCCTCCTCAAAAGCTAAACTACTAAAATTTACATTATGTGAATTTTATCATAATTAATAAAAACTATAGGCCGGAGAAGAGGCCTCTCAAGGTCCCTTGGAACTCCACAGTGTTCCCCAGCCTTGAGCCTCCTTCTCCACAGGTCCCCTGGGTGCCAGGGTTAGCTGGGGCAAGGCCTATGATCAGAAGCAATAGGAAAGAGTGAAAGACTAAGAAACAAGGCTTTTAAAATATCTGTGCCCCAAAAGCCCACTCCACACACAGCTGTCTCCTCTGCAGCCCCATCCGCTTCAGAGACAATCGTGGCCTTTCACCTCTCCTTGGCCATATGACACTTGCTTCTTTGTAGTCTTGCTGCTTGCTGAGGTCCTTCTCCTGGACAACAGGGGAGATAGGGGCGTGCCCTGAAGTCTGGCTTGATGCTTGGGCAGTGATGACAACCAGTATATGAGTGAGTGGGAGACCAGGGCCCATTTTCCACGTGTGCACGTGTGTCTGCGTACGTGTACATGAACACAAACCAGCCACAGCCAGCTAACCTGGGGCTCTTAGCTATCTCAAAGGGCATCCGCCACTGAAGTGCCAAATACTGGAGGATAAAGAAGGAAGAAGGAGAAGTCCCCCGACAGGGCAGGCCTCACCCAAGATGGCTAGAACTCATGGGTCCTGGGGATATCATGGGACATAGTGGGACTGACAAGCCCACACACAGGTTCAGTTCCCCAAGTCCCCCTCCCCCAACACACACACACTTTGTCCTACCAACATGGGCTGTCAACTGCAGCCCAGCATTAAGGACCACACAAAGCCCTTTGCACCCATCAAATGTTGAAAGAAAATGTACAGGTCCTCATATTTTCAAAGGGGACAAAATACATCTAAATTTTATTCAACTTACCCTTGTTTCCCAGGAAAATGGGGCCGAGTGCTCATCTTGCCAAGTTATGTCCTAAAATAAAAATTCAAGAATAAGTCTGAGGCCCAAACTCCACCAACCCTATGCAGACATCCACCCAGAGCCACGAGGGAGACAGACAGACAGACAGACAGACACACACACACACACACACACACATGACAACTCGAGGACAAATGAAGGTCTCAGTACTTGACAAGACTTGCACTGGGAACTCCTGCAGCCCAGGCTGCTTGCTGGTCCTCTCCTGCCAAACAGGCATCTTAGTGAGCACCAATAAGGCCTCAACCCAAGACAGGAGCTTCAAGAAATGGGATGGTGCTATTATCCTCAGAAAACAGGGTGGAGTCTCAATCCGACCAGGGCAAACTATGATCTGGTGTGAGGACACAGCCTTCTGAACTTGCTTCCTTGCTTCTGTGAGGGACTCACACACCTTCCAGGCTTGCTGTGAGGTTGTAGCCTGGTATCTTGTGCAAAGAACACATTTGTGCCCCCCTCCCGGCCATGTGAAAAGCACTGGTAGCAGAGTCAAGGGACAAAGCGTCAAGGCGATACAAGTGTCTGATCGTAACACGGCTGATGCTGCTCCTGACTCGGCTCACACAGTGCAGCAGAAGACCTCTTCCGAGCACTCGCTGGACTCAGAGCCTAGGCTTGCAGGTCCTGTCTGTTAACTTGAAGAAAGGGCTGAGGCCTCCTCTTCACCCCCACAGGTACCTGTCTGTGCCTGACTGCTCTAAAACACAGGACAAAATTTTGCTGAGGTTATAGGTGTGTGCCACCATAGCTGGTTTATGTAGTGCAGGGGACTGAACTCAAGGCTTTATGCACAATAGCAAGCTTTGCCAACAGAGCTATGTCTGAAAGTCCTGACAAAATATGTGAACTGAGAGTGGCATTAATTCTATGTTCATCTCCCTCTGTCCCCAAACAACTCCTACGTGATTTGTATCACGCCATGGAGGACCCAATAAAGTATGTTCCTTGTCACCTAGCAGCCACGTGACCTGGCTCCACCCTCCACAACGAGAGCTGCTGAGCTTCAGATGCTGACAGAGCCCTGCCCCAGACCAGCCTCACCGATGGCAGGAACTCCTCAAGAATGCTCTCAAGCACAACAGCCATCCAGGCTGCAAGCCAGCTTTCCCTGGGCACACCCCTGCTGAGCTGGGAAGAAGCGGAAGCCCAGTTAAGAACTATAACAAAGGTGGCGGTGGCGGTGGTGGCTCTGGGCAGTTGACAGCCTAAGAATGAGGGGGATGCAGAAACTTCTTAAGGCACAAGAACACAATAAGCCCTTTCCATGCCCTGTCCCCAGAGCTGGAGAAACCCAGGTTCCAAAGTTATGAGATCAAGACCCCTGTGCAAGCTAGGTCCTCACACACTGCAACCCCCACACCTCACACATTCCTATTCCCAAATCACCCCAATGTGGGAAGTGAGACACTGGTTCTTCTGGGATGGAGGCCCAAAGAGTAAAGCTGCCATTTCGGATAGAAAGTCCCTTGCACTGGGGGATGAGCAGCTGGTGGCTGCACACTAAGGGCTACCCTCTCGGTGGTTGCCGAACTAGGGGCTGCAAGTTTATGCTCAGGCCCTTTCCTCCAGTGGGTGTGCAAGAACTGCACACTAACACCCGAGAAATCCCGTTCCTGTGAATACACGTTATGCCAAGCCCACATCACAAGGCATACACCCCCAGACCTGGGTAGGCTGCAGCAGTAACGTGGGGCCAGGCATTAAGAAAGCCCAAAGGCCCCTCAGCTGTGCAGCTAATACAGTCTTCCCAGACTGCCGCTGGTCCTGCACAGAGGTAATACAACCTTGGCAACACCTGTTGGGGATCTTGGCTCAGAACTGACTTGCACTGCTTCTTAAGAAACATCTCTGTATGTGCATGTGTGTGTCTATGTGTGGATATGCACACATGAGTGCAAGTACCTGTGGAGACCAGAAGAGGGTGTCAGACTGGCCTGGAGATGGAGTCACAGATGGTTGTGAGCCACTGTACATGGGTGCTAGGAATCAAACTCAGGTCCTGAGCAAGAGCAGCAAGTGCTCTTAACCACTAGGCCACCTCTCTGGCCCACTTGGGCTATTTTGCACTGCACAGTCGTCAGGCAAAACTTCTAAAAATGAGAACGGGGTCACTGCATTCTGCTCTGGAATTTCAGCTAAATCCCAGTTACTTCCAAAGTCTAAATTCTGCCCCTCCAAACATGGCCATGTCTATCTGGAGGAATGTTGAGTCACCGCCTGGGAGCGACAGCTGCAGCAGGGGCCTGTCCTCATCTCTGTGGCCACTGGAGAAGGAGACAGGGAGCCTCTGAAATTCTAGGCTCTTGGGACACTATGTGTTCCTCTCGGAGGCAGTAAGGCAGACAGCCTTCACGGGGAAGTGGAGCAGGTCAGTGGAACAGATACTGCTTATTCTAGCGGTGACCAGGAGAGGTGAAGGGCGTTGCCTGGCTAATGCCTTTTTTCCCTGAGGCCACCAGCCGTGTTACTGGACAGAGAGGAAGGATGTAGGGATCCCAAGGGTGGGTGGGAGCTAGACCCACTCCTGTGTACCCTGGCCTGACTTCTGATTTCTGTAAAGTCGGTCTCTCTGAATCTCCAAAGTAAGTCAGAGGCTCCCGGCTGAGAGAGCGGGGCTCCAGGAAGCAAAAGTCAGGGCCCAGGGCTCGGTGGGTCGGAGCCCCAGGGTTGCTGCCCACACTTCCTGGAATTCCATGGGGGGTGGGGAGTCACAGGCAGGGAGAGGTCACTGAGATTTCCCCTTAACTTAGTGTCAACAATCTTTTGTTTGCTTCAGCAAGAAGCTTAACCAAGAGGCAGATTCCTTGGATTTCTGCAATTCTGAGCTCATAAAAAATAATAAAGCACTTAGCAAAAATAAATCTGCCAAACAAAAATGTGACGGGAGCTCTGCTGTCAGCAGGCAGTGGCTGTGTCGCCAGCCAGAGACTGTGCTGGCATCGGCGCAGGCTTCCAGCACAACGGCAGCAGGATCTCAAAGTGGCAGTCCCTGCTCCCGCACAGAGACACACTCACCTACACAGACAAACTCACACTCAAAGGCACACTCCCATACAAGCATATCCTCACATACAGATACATTCCTACACATAGACACACTCCCACACATAGATGCACTGACACACAGACATATACCATAGATGCACTCACATACAGACATACACACATAGATACACTCATTCACAGATATACACACAATACACATAGTCAGCTACTTAGATACTGGCACATAGATACATCTGCATGCAGATAGATACACAGACACACTCATACAAACACTCACAAGCACAGACACACAGACATATATACACAAACACACAGAGACACATTCTTGCAAATATAGACACACGCGCACGCACAGCATTTCCCCTTTTTCTTCTGCTTTCACAATAACCAGGAGGCAACCAAAACATAGCCAGGTGCAGGCCTGCAGTGGGACTGTGCACTCCTACTCAGGGACTGCTGGAGAGCCCTCTGCCTGCCACCCAGGCACCCAGATCAGACAGCAGGACAACACAGGTGGCCTTCACTCAGGCCAACCATCACCCTCCGCGTCAGAATCCTATCTGAAAGAGACACAGGCACGGGAAGTTTGGCTGGGCCACTGTGGAGCACGGCGTGAAAGTATGTATACCACACATCACCAAATCAGAACAGAAGCCACAAGAGACACAGCTAAGAGGACACAGAGCGCGGAAAATCACAGAAAACCATGGAAAGAAGCAAGCAGTAGCAGGTACACACAACAGTGGGGCTGCTGGTCCTCACAAGGGCTCCAGACAGAGGCACCAAAACCAGCTACCATCTCAGGTGCATCTGCTGTCTGTTAAATGCTGATCCCACTCACTGTCTCTAAAGGAAAGCGGCGTCACTACGTGTAGATGTAGAGAGGTAGATTTTTCACATTATGCTAAACACAACAACAAAAATATTGTTTTTATGGCCCCATCTACACGCAACACTGGAGTATGGAAAATCATAGCGACAGAAAACAGAAGCTGCCAGAAGCTGGAGGTGGGGTGGGGGGAACGACAGTCATTGTTAACCTGCACTGTCTTACAGCTTAAAGGATGCAAACAACACAGCAGCTGGGCAGGACAGGATGGTTTAGCACGACAATACGAATTTAATCCCCCAGAACCAACTCCACAAAGCTTCTTATGGACATAAACACTGGCGCAAATACTCACACACATACATCCTGTATACACACAAAAATAATAACTTAAAAACAAACAAAACGGGCTGGAGAGATAGTTCAGTGGTTAAGAGCATTGCCTGCTCTTCCAAAGGTCCTGAGTTCAATTCCCAGCAACCACATGGTGGCTCACAACCATCTGTAATAAGGTCTGGTGCCCTCTTCTGGCCTGCAAGCATACACACAGATAGACTATTGAATACATAATAAATATTTAAAAAACAAACAAACAAACAAAACACGGCTGGGGCCAGGCTTGATGGTGCACGCCATTAATCCTAGCACTTAGGAAGCAGAGGCAGGTGGATCTGGTCAGTTCGAGGTCATCTTGATTTACATAACGAGTTCCAAGCCAGCTGAAACCACTACAAAGTGCAACCCTACCTCAAAAACCAAAACCAACCAAACACGGCTAGGTACAGCAGAGCATGCCTGTCATCCCGACACTCAGGACACGAAGGCAGGAGGACGGTGACTTCCATACTAGCCTGGGCCCCATGACAAGACTGTGCCAAGAATAAATAACTAAATAATCTGGACCTGGAAGGCAGGAATGCTGCACACTCTTGGAGTGTGTGGAATGACATTGCACACTCAGATGTGGCTGAAATGGGGTCGGGGATGGAGCTCAGCTGGTGGAGTGTTCCCTGGAACTTCCAAAAGCTGTTTGTTTCACGTCAAGCACTTTGATCTTCAGCACAGTGCAGACAGGGTGTGACAGTGGGGCAACTTTGGGGGGGGGGAGAGAGAGAAGCTGGAGGGTCAGAAGTTCAAGGCCTTCCTCAGCTATGTA